CTGGGGCACCTGGCATTGGCCACTGTTGGAAGACAGGATACTGGGCTAGATGGACCTTTGGTCTGGCCCAGTATGGCCGTTATGTTCTATTGATATGTCGTCTTATAATGGAGCCTTTTTCTGTTTGTAACACTGCCAGTGCTCATTCTAGCACAAAGCTTCTAAAACTGCTGGGCTCAGAACACTTACTTTGATGTATCCTCTGTCTGTCAGCCTTGCAATTCTGCTCTTGGCACACACATTTAAAGTGAAAGGAAGCGTGCCACTGCAGAATTAAAAAAAAAAAAAAAAAAAAAGGCTGAGCATTCCGTGAAATTGGCACTAGGGTTGAGAGAAAACACAGACTTCCATGGGGGTAATGCTACATTTCAGAGTTTTCGTTCACCCGAGATTCCAGGCACAAGGATTCTTGGTAGCCAGCCCAGAAACTTGGATTAGTGCCTACAGGTTCCTCAGCTTTTCTTGGTTTGTTTGTTTTTTTGCCCCCCTTTTTAAATTGCATATAACTCCAGGAAGAGATCTGGAGTTTGGATTTATTTTTAGCCATCAAGATTGACTTTCCCCACACTTGTTTTAGATTCAATGTTAGACAAACTTCAGAAAGTGTCAGAGTATTTCCCTGACGCTTTTTACCCTGCCTCCTGCCCTCCACTCTGCAAAGGGTCTTTGCTTTTAAAACTGCTCCTAAAACAAGCATGGGGCTGAGAAGAAAGGTTGGAGATCTTCGATCAATTCACATGAAAGCTGCACAAGAGTTAAACCAGTGGGTACAGGCGGTGCAGTCCTTCCTCGGGCCAAACTCCCATCGGTGAACTGGAAATTCTGCTTGAATAAGGACTGCAGAAGTTGTCTCTTGGGCTATGACTATACTACAATAAAAGCCTGGGGCACTGAGACTCAGAGCCTGGGTCAGCTGACTTGGGCTCGCAGGGGCTAGAAAACGGCAGTGTAGAAATTCTGGTTCACGCTGGAGCTCTGAGCCCGGGAACCCAAGCTGAGCCGGAGTCAGTTGACCTGAGCCAGCCATAGCCAGGCCATGGCTCTCTTTTTATTGCTATGTAGATGTCCCCTTAAGGTCTGTCTGCATAGCCGCTGGAAGACGAAATGCCCAGCTTGTGTAGACATACACACGCCAGCTCTGTTCAAGCTAGCACACTACAAATAGAGCGGCCACAGGAGCATGGGCAGCATGAGTGCATTCCCAAGTATAGTCCCGCCCGATTCTGCGTGTGTGTACTTAGGCAGCTCTCTGCTGCAACCACACTGCCCCGCTCCTGGCCCCGGGATGTGAACAGGAGTAAGGGGGGCGCGACTGTGAATAGTTTAGGGGCCACTGCCTTAGACCTTTATGGCAACACCGTAAGGATTGTGTAAGAGTCCGGTTCGGGGATCAAATCTACTTCTACTTGTGTTGTAATTTCCCTCTGTGCATCTGGAGCTGATCTCATCTGCCACTCGGTGTTTTACCCGAGGGACTGATTCTCCTCCCCTCATACGTGTTACTAAATAAAAAGATAGAGAGAAAGGGGTGAGCCTGAGCAGAGATGGTTTGATTAAATGAGAATCTTTCTAGGCCACCTCCTCTCCACCGCTGTCCGATGGGGAGGGGATGTTAGAGCAAGGGAAGCACTGCCCCACCAGCCTACCTCCAGTCCCCTGCATAACCCTCCATGTGAACCCTGCACTTTGGGGGTTCCGTGGGCTTGGGGGAGTGAGGTGTCAGGTTGGTGAGGGGACAGCAGCTCTGTGGTTCATTTCTTCATTGCAGTAAACGTAGGTGCAGCATTCCAGGTAAACGTAGGTGCATCTCTGCAGTGTTTCACGCCTGACTCCGTGCTCTCACTCGTTAGGCCTGTTTCAAGGCACTCTCACAAAGCTCTGTTGTCTCCAGGTAAAACCATGTGAGTTCTCTGCTCCTCACTTTCTGCTTTATCCTCCTCATCCCAGTAAGAGGAAAGGGCGGGCAGGGAGCCAGTGGTAGCACAGCTCCTGGGTGTGAAGAGTGCCACTCAGGAGTGCGGGAGCCAAGTGAACAATGCAAAGGGGGAGGCTTTTGTGCACGTATGGGCTTGCTAGGGACCTATGCCCTTTACCCCCTGTGTGAACTTGCGATATTCCACCCCCCACAGTGGATTGATGCAGTGAGAGCAGCTTAGACTTTCTCCCTCCTGCAAGATTTTCCTCAGATGGGGTTGGTGGAGCTTGTGGTGCAGGTAAGGGAGATGTATTGATGGCCTCTCTTCTCGACTGTTTAGATTAGGTCCAATAAAACTTCTTGTACAATATATTCATTCCATGCAGCCTAATTGTAGGGAAAAAATGACCGAGACTGAAATCTCACAAGCATTGAAAGAATATCTGGAGGCCATCTGTAGCAGAAAATATATTTCCACATCAGGCTTTGAAATCCATTTTCCTGAGTAATAATTGAGATTCAAAAAACACCCCAAGCAAAACCAAACTTCTGTTTGCTTCCAGAACTATTGGAAGTTCCACATGGTTGACAAGTAGTTGAGTACTGTTTGTACACCAAGTGTATAGCATAAGGTGCACCTCTTATTATGATGGTAGCATTTGTTTGTTGAGCTGATTACTACGCATCTCAAATATGATGTTTTTCCACCCAATGAATATTGCTGACAATAATATGGTCACAGTTATGGTACTCTGGTTAGATGGGAGTGACACTTTCTAGGCCTCTCTTTTCAGGTGCTCTCTAACTTTCTGATAAAACATCTGTGATTGGAAAAGCACCGAGCTGCTTTCTTAGTTCAAAGGCAATTTATGTTCTTGGGAAAGTTGGATGAAATTCCGATGGTCCTTTTTTAAATTTATCTTCGTGTTAGGAAAGTGTGTGTGCATGCTGACACTTTTTAAAAATGTCCTCTGATACCTCAAAAGAAATTTTTAAACGTCCAACTTTACATGGATATAGGCCTCCGTGAGGAAGGTGCTTTGATTAGGCATTTAAAAATAAGACCCATTGTGCATGTGCAGTAGTGTGTCATTTCCCTGTTGATTCAGTATGATTTGCGAGATGTACGCATCAGATGCATGTGGATGTTGTATATACAAAGTCTAACAACTGGAAAAAGGTAGCTGATGTTTCTTCAGATAAACAAGGTGAAAAATGCGTGAAATTAAACTTTTGACAACATTGTTAGGAAATGTTTCCTGTTGTTCAGCCTAAATAGTGCCCCGAACAATATGATGGAAGCTCCTTCCCTTAAGTAAATTAAAATGGAAAATGGCTAAGTCCAGATTTGTAAAGGCATTGCTTCTCTGTGTTGCAAGGCCTAAGTGACTTAGACGGCCGAGTCCCAGTTCCAAATGTGATTTAGGCACATAGGAGTGTAAAATGAAAATGGGACTTAGCCATGTAAGCCACTTAGGTCAGGATTCTCAAAGGTATTTAGGTGCTTAGCTCCCATTGATTTTACCTCAGTACCTTTGCGAATCTGGGCCTAGGCCTTGCAACCTTGAGCAGAGGAATGCTGACAACCTTTAAAAGTCAGGGCCTAAGATCCACAGTGATTGCAAATATGCAGGGAGAGCCCCCCACCCAAAGGGCAGGTGGTGGCAGGGGTAGGCTGTCAGACAATCATGATCCTAGTGCTCAGTGTTAATAGGGTGACCAATTTAGCTGTGCATTTGTGACTGCCTCGGTTTGGGACATTGAAATGCCTAGAAACAAATACTCTAATAGACCAGGATCAGTGTTGTTGTTGTTTTTTAGTGTTTTGATTATGGGGTGTCTGATTTCTGCAGGGTGGGTGCTCAGCACATTCTGGAAATCAGGCCCCTTTAAGGAGTCTAAATTTGGGCACCCTGAACTTTGGGTGCCCCAAATTACTAGTCACTTTTTGAAAGTGGCTGTAGCTGTTAATATTACACTAAACGGGAGAATACACAGGAGAGAACAATCCTGCATTGGCAGGAGGATGGACTAAATGATTTGAAAGGATTTTTTCCCCTCATTTGTCATGTATGTGCTTTGGAGAGGTGAGACAAGCATTTCCTGGTCTAGAGTTTATTTTAATCATTTGAATAAAACAGGTATGCATATATGTGACATGCCAGAGAGTTGACTCTGCAATCTCTCTGTGTACAGTTGCTTGGAATTTTTTAAATTTAAAATAAAAAGGGAAATTCAGTGTAAAACACCCTAAGTTAAATGCAGTGTTATGATTGGGAATGTAAATGCAAAACTCATCAGGGAACGATTAATGCCTGTAGGAGAGCTGTATTTGAAGGCATACACCTAGCAGGGAGGAGGGCAGAACAGTCAGCCTCAACACCGCAGAGCAGATGGAAGCAGCAGCAAATGCTGGAGAGGAATGGAAGAGCCTCGTTTCCACCCTGTGTGCCCACATTGGCGTGAGAGGGATGTAACTAATGCACCTAACAGCGTATAGTGTAAATGCTACAGGTGTGCAGAGGGCTGGGTTATAGTTGCAGCTCTAACCGTACTTTGAATTTACTAACTGAGGTTTGTAGCGTAGCATTGTACTAAGGTAGCTTTTGCTCTGACTAGACCTATCTATGCCTAATTCTGTTCTCTCTATTGCACCCGTGTAAATCAGGAGTAACTCCATTGAAGTCTTCAATGGAGTTACTCTAGTGGGAAACCAATATGAGTGGGATCTGATTCAGGCCCATCTGTGTCACTGGTACACCTCTACCTCGATATAACGCTGTCCTCGGGAGCCAAAAAATCTTACCGTGTTATAGGTGAAACTGCGTTATATCGAACTTGCTTTGATCCACCAGAGTGCGCAGCCCCGCCCCCCCGGAGCACTGCTTTACCGCATTATATCCGAATTCGTGTTATATCGGGTTGCGTTATATCGGGGTAGAGGTGTATGTAGAATATCTGCCTAGGGTAGGTAGAAACTGTTTGACGCTGAGCTGTCGTGAAGCATAAAGACAATGTTTTGCTGTAAGATATAAATATTTTAAATGATTTATTGTAATAGTTTCCCCTGCCCCCTCTTTTTCAGATATATGTTGGGGAAAGGAGGAAAGCGGAAGTTTGACGAGCATGAAGATGGGCTGGAAGGCAAAGTGGTGTCTCCTACTGACGGTCCATCTAAGGTGTCTTACACCTTACAGCGCCAGACTATCTTCAACATTTCCCTTATGAAACTTTATAACCACAGGCCATTAACAGAGCCAAGCTTGCAAAAGACAGTTTTAATTAACAACATGCTGAGGCGAATCCAGGAGGAACTCAAACAAGAAGGCAGCTTGAGGCCTGTGTTCATCACCACTTCACAGCCTACTGACCCTCTGGGTGACAGCTTTCGAGAGGCTCAACCTGCGTTCAGTCATCTTGCCTCTCAGCCAGTTCACCCCACTGACTTAGTAAGCACTACACCATTAGAGTCTTGCCTCACCCCAGCCTCTTTGCTTGAGGATGACACTTTTTGCACTTCCCAGACTGTCCAACATGATGGTCCTACAAAACTACCACCTCCAGCTGTCCAACCGGTAAAAGACAGTTTCTCCTCGGCCTTGGACGAAATTGAGGAGCTCTGTCCAACATCTACCTCTACCGAGGCAGTAGTAGTAGCAACAGAAGCAGCAGCAACAACGGATGACTCTAAAGATAACTCCAGTGAGTCTAATGTTCAAAAGTCTGAGGGAGTCCAAGAGAGCAGAACAAGTGAATCAAAACTCATGGACTCTTTACCCGGCAATTTTGAGATAACAACTTCCACAGGTTTCCTTACAGACTTGACCTTGGATGATATTCTGTTTGCTGACATTGACACATCTATGTATGATTTTGACCCTTGCACATCTGCTACAGGGGCTGCCTCAAAAATGGCTCCTGTCTCAGCAGATGATCTCCTAAAAACTCTTGCCCCCTATAGCAGTCAACCAGTAACCCCAAATCAGCCTTTCAAAATGGACCTCACAGAACTGGATCACATAATGGAGGTGCTTGTTGGGTCTTAAAGTATAACGACTTTTTATGTACCAGTATATACACTTGGTAGTATTTTCACAACCCTTCCCTCCCTCCCCGCCCCTCCAAATTCACAGCACTGTGCATGCGTCCTTGCTTGCCTTTTTTTAAAAGAAAAGGATCACACTAGTTTTTGCTTCAAGCAGAGTTGGAGTGCCTTCATCCATGTATGACCACTTTCAATGTATTTTTTTAAAGTGGTTCCTCAAGGAAGACCTAATACCCTGGTATAGGAAAGAATACATATTGTAGACAATATTACTATGATATTACGACAAAAAAATTGAATTGTAAAAGCTAAGCACAAGGATTATGTTGGGGAAAGCTGTACATTTGCATGTGCATATTTGTCTATTTTTTCTATAAGTTTTATTGCAAGAGGTAAAAAATTTATTATTTAGATAATCTCAGTACCTTTTTGGCATTTTAGCCCTGTATAGGTTGACTTAGCAATTCAGCCCTTTGGAGGCATTAACTAGTCTTCTTCAAGTGTTGCATTTACATGGCTGTTTAGAAACTGCTGCCCAAATTTATTTTATATTTTTGTACAGATTCTGCAGTTTATTATATTGTTTTTTCTAAAAACAAATGCTGTTTATACACACAAAAAATAGCTATTTTGATAGGGTTTGCTCACATAGTTCCTGCATAATTGATGTACAAGAACCACTTGTACTTTTATACAGAGTTGTAATGTTTTATATGTGTATGGTGCAAAGAGAAAAATGGATCAAATAAATCTGCAGTTAGGTCTCCCTGAATGCAAACAGTGCTTTAAGAAAGGGCTGGGGGCTGTTTCACAAATATTTACTCGCTGCTGTAGCCACCTGTGCACTACTGTGATTTGAAAACCCAGAGCCATGTCGACTCCAAGACCTATGTTAAACAGTTGGCAGGAGATAATTGTGAAACTTCATTCTAAGTGTTCTCTTGTGAGATCAAGGCTACTGAAAACCTGATCCCGAAGCCAGTATGTCAAGCAAATGTATAAACTTTTTATTTTTAAGGAAAGTTTTTGTTTTTTTTTTCTAAATTTGGAACAGCCAATTGTCTTTGTTACTTGAAATGTGTTACCATTTTAGCAAGTCGGCATTTCCTTAGCTGAAGTTATTGCGAATGATTTTAATGGGAATATACAGGCCATTTACAAATACATCTCTTTGTAATTTTTCTTAAAGAAGGTATACATGGTATTTGTTCCAATTAATTTGTGTTCAAGATTCCACTTGCCCTTTCTTGGAGCATTCTTTCTCCCTCACTGTGTTAATAAGTGCTGAAAAATGCAACTTCAGTATTACTGCAGTGAAGCTCATCTCTTATCTGCACTGGATGGACTTATTTTAGTATCCATTGCTGTTGAAACTGGAGCCAGTCGTGTTACATCACTTGGCATCTCCTCTAGGGTTCGTTTCTTGTATCAACCGCGTTACCTGCTTTACACTTTATAGACCTGTTTTACAATGAATATACAGACACAGCTTTCTATGCATGTTTCCTTCCCCCGTAACACCTGAGAAGTCGTCTCATTACTGCACCAATAGCATTTTTGTATTCATTGTGGTGTACATTTAATTTAAAAAAACGTTTGCAATGTATCATGCCTGTTGCTGAAATTGCTATGGCATTTTAGTTTTTCAATGGTACTTTAGCTGATGAGTGCAGGTTACAACCTATATTGTTGACATGCCTATGGCTTCTTTAGGAATAACTTTTATATTTATTTAAGAAATTTTAAATTATGTTTTATGTCATTTGGCAATATTCAGTCAATTCTGCTCACTTCTTGTCATGGATAAAATTGGGTCTTGTCTGCCTTTAAGAAGGCAGCTTTATAAATTGGCACTTTAAACAGGCCATATATATTTACTAGTAAATATATATAATGCACACACATAACACAAAGCAAATAAATTTTGCAATGAAGGAACTGCTACTCTAAATGCAATGCATCATGTACAATTAGGGAATGCTTCTAGCTCCTAATTAATCAGCCAGTTTTAGTATATTTTAAAGTGAATTACTAACTCTCTAACACAACAAGATGTTGATATAATCGCAATTGTTTGCTTACAATATAGTATTTTCTAACTTCAAACAGAATGGCATCAACCAACTGTAGAATTAGGGACCATTTTTAATTGCCGGCGCAGGGCCAGCTGGGGAAGGGTCGCTCTATTTTGCATCCAGTAATGTTTGGCTATTGTTCATTCAGCAGCTTCCATTCCTTGTAAGAGAACAATCCTGCCACAGACTCTGCAACTTTTGTAACTGGAACACCCAAGGAACCATGGCTACAACAAGGTGTATCAATCTGTATACAGAAACCTAAAGCCATGCAATAATGTTGATTGTTCAGAACAATAACATGGTAAGCAGTTGATTATCGTTGTTCTAAGTTATTGTAAATCAGTTCTTAACAACTGCCCTTTCTTTGGATTAGTTAATTGTGTTTTTAGACAAGCACCATATGTTAAGCAACAGTTCAAATAAACGCCATTTTCAGAGCAGTGAACTGTTGTTTAAAAGTGGTTGTTTGAAGTCTCTTTGTATTTGCAGACCAGGAGAAAGAATCTCAAAATACTCTTTACCACTCAAAAGAAATCTGTGTATTCTTGGTAATAAAGTAGGGAAATCCTTAATAATAGAGTACTTAAAGGAAATTGGCAGGAGATACACAAAGAGCAAAACACCTGATTTATAAAATTAGGCAAAAGGTCGGTAATTCTTATTTTGAACTGTAACCTTTAATTCTATAGATTGAAATGCTTGTTGGAATCTTCTGCTTTGGCAGTAACTTTCTTTCTATAGCATGGCCTTCTTGCAAAGGTCTGAGTATAACAGTCAAGATAAGAATTCTTTATAAAAGATGAATACCCAGGTGATGTATATTGACAATGATGTGCAATGAAGTGACAAGATGGGAGCAGAATAAAAGAGCTTTGGATTTGAAGTGATTTTTTCGTAAGTTATTTATTCCTTTTTTTCATTGTAAATATATTTATTTTATTGTGAAGCTAACAACATCTGGATTGTAACATGTACAGAATGTATGGTAGGAATGTATTCTCTTGTAGGAATGTAAATCTGTATGGAAAGGGGATGGAAGCCTGATTCAGAGAAAATGCATTGGGTTCTATTCAGGATATGCACGGTTCACATTAATTTCCCCCTCCACACACACTCTTTTCCAACATGGGTCTGGTTGTTTGAAATATGCAAAAAGTATGGATGAGGGAGACTTTAATACTCAAAATTAGTCCTAAAAATCAGACTTGTCATGCGTCAGTTCCTTTAAAGGGGCCTGCTCTTGCGCCCTTTAAAGTCAGATGGAGTCTTGAGTAGAAGCAGCAGCAAGGTCAGCATACCACCGCTGTTCCTTTAGGGGTTGATCTTGTAAATGCACGAGGAAGGGCAGGTCTACGCTACCGCTTAAGTCAATCTAACTTGTGTCGTTCAGGGGTGTGAAAAAGCCTCCCCCCCGGGCAACGCAAGTTTCGCTCTGTCCGGACCAGCACTATATCGGTGGGAGACACACTCCCACTGACGTAGCTTTGGCGTCTCACCGAGGTGGAGTAATTCTCATTGGGAGAGCGCTCTCCCAACAGCAAAGCACGTCTTCACCAGACGCGCTACAGCGGCGCAGCTGCATTGGTGCAGCTGCGCTGATACAGCACTGCAGTGTAGACTTGCCTTAAATCTTTACTCATGCAGGCAGTCCCCGTGAAGTCTGTGGGGCTATATGAGTAAGAGTTTGCAGGGTGGTGCCCTTACTCCAGAAAGTGCAACAGAACTGACACTGCATTTGTGCAAACTGGTAAGATGCAGACAAAAAGTGGTAAATGTACTTTCCAAGTGCACCATGTCTTTTTGCATGGGTTTTGATTTTACTGTTGCTTATTGGGCCTGATCAGGCAGTCCTTGCTCATACGTAATTCACGTAGTTCTCAGTGGGAATTTTGCCAGCAATACAGGATTGGGCCCCAATAACAGTCCCTGCTCAGAGTCCTAGTGGACTGTACATATCTGTATGCAAAGCAAGGAGAGATTCCTTTTAAAAGAAACTTCGAGGAGCAGTAAAGTATTACAAATTAAAGACATCTGTCTATTCATGTTCCTCGCAGTGAGCTACAAAATAAGATGATCGAGACGCCACCTGAAATGCCCAGTGTGAGAATAAACTCTTAGCTTGTGCTGCAGCCATTGTAGTTTTCTCCCTGCTGTATGTTAATCGCCTTCAGTGTTGTGATTCCAAAGTTTACAGGTTCTTCAAAAACTAAATGAGCAAATTGTAATGGTTCCTGCCTGAGAAATGGGTTCATTCACTCCGAAGAGGCGTGAACATTGATTTAATTTTGAACAGATTTCGGCATCCTGCTCTTGTGAAAGTTGCTTTCAGTGCTTACGTTAATGAGTCTGAATGTTTCTCAGAAATTAGTTCATTTTAAGCTTCCCCTCCCCCCTCTTTCAGGAAATAGGCCTAATGCAAATTCTGAAATCCTTTTTTAAAAAAACAAAAACTTTTTAGAGGGTTAACAATGTAATCCATGCTAGAATCTGTAAAGGCAGAGATTCTGGAAAAGGTGTATATATATATAGTGTGACATGTTCAGTGCATGGTGGTTGAACAGGGCTTGTTATTGTCAAAAAGAAGGCTGTATTTTTTTTTCCCCCACAGACCTTAGCGCTGTGCCTTTTCTATGCAATATTACAGACATATACATTTGAACCCAGATTACTGTATTCACATGTAGGTATGGGCTGTAATCAAAACAATTGGACAAATGTACATGGAAATGAGCAGTCTTACTTTTGTAGTTTTATATTATACAATAAACAATTAAAAGATACAAAACTCTTGTCCCTTATTTTTATTTTCATGACCAAAACATTGTGTTAAAAGGGAATCCAGACAGGGCTTGGGAGACTTATTGCCCGAGGAAGGGGGTTTGCATCCCCAGACTTCTCCATCCCCATTAGATTAGGGGTGGCCTCACGTAGGGTTGAATGGGACCGGTTGTGCGAGCGAGACACGCGCATTCTATCCCCTAGCTCCTCTGTGGAGATTCCCCCGGAAAGGTAAATACAGCTTTGACTTGCATTGCCTGTGGAGCCCCCTCCATGGTAGGAGTTTCCTTGTAAGGGAGCTTCTCAGAGCAACCATGGCCAGTGGCAGTTGGAGCTATGTTGGACGACGGGCGTGAGGGAATGGGACTGCCCAGGCACAGGGCCTCCACAGGGATAGATCTTGACTCCCATTAGTCGCCTTTGCAGGGGGTGGTGGCTCATTCCACAGGGGAGCAGACCCTGCACCTCAACAACAATAAGAGGACACCGCCTAGGGAGATTCTGCCCTTGGAGCACCCTCCATATGGTTTGGCTGTGGGCAGGGTGGGCCAGCCCTGAGTTTAGTGTGGGAGCAGTGTGGTCCTGGCTTTATGTCCTGCAGCATTAATCACCAAGTGTTAGATGTAGAATCAGTAGCTGCATTTGACTGGTGGGGCTGCGTCAGTTTACAGAGAGGAGGGAACAATCCTGCTCTCACTGGCACTGGGACGAGCCCGGAGTAACCCTGGGGCCTTCTGTGGAGTTTCTCTGGATTTCAGCTGGTGCAGCTGAGAACAGAATCTGTCCCATTTCAAGGGACGGAAGGCACTTTAAGTTACGACATTAAAAGCCAGCTGGAACCATTTGCTATATAATCCACTGCTGGATTTCAGATGTCACCCTCTCATCCCTCTAGGTCAGCATTTCTCAAATGTGGCCCCCAGGGACTTTTCTTGCAGCAGTGTTTTTTTTTTTTTTTTGCGGGGGCGAGGGACAGAGAACGGCCTCTCCCCCTCCCTGTTGCTCCTAGAAGTTGGTGTTGCTTGCTGGGGCTGCCAGCAGGGGTTGAGCCCTGCACCCTCCTGGAGAACAGGCAGCAGGTGAGTTCTCCACTTTCCCGGGGGGGGTAGGACCCAGGTTTTGGGCTTCAGCTGTGGGGTGGCAGGGGGGAAGGCTCTATCCGCGGGGCTTCAGGCTCTAGCCCTCAGCTCTGGCTGCACAGCGGCAGGCCTCAGGTTCCAGCCACATGGCTTTGGGTGCCATCCCTGGGCCCTGTCCCTCTGCCGCAGGGCTTTGGGCTGTGGCTTTGGGGTTTCAGGCTCCAGCCCCCACTGCCTCCCCCACTCTCCTATCCCCCCCCCCATCCAGGGCTTAATTTGTCCCCAAGCATACTGGGCTGAGTAAGTCTGGTGTGAAAAGTGATACTTGTATGTTTGTTAATATCACTTTTCACACCAGACTTACTAGCTGGCAATAAAGGAATTACAATGATGTCTAGGTGCATATTTATTTGTTTTTCCTAAAGCTAATCAAGTGTTTTAGGAAAAAATTGGAGAGCGGCCACCAGCAAGCGTTGGTGGCCGCACTCTGAGGCCACTAAAAATTTTGTCCTGAAAACCCCAGCTCTAGGTGAGTGGTATTTACTTCCCAGGATAGCAGGAGTGGGGAGGGCAAGGGCTTGTCTTTGCTCGAGCAGTGTTAAGCAATGAGTCTTATTGAGCAGAATCTACATCAGGATTGGGTTTTGCTGTGGTCAGGTACATAGGGGTTGAATCATATCACCCTGGTTACGTTTGGCCTTGCGTATTCACGGGGGGGGGGGGGGTGGTCTCTTACCAATTCAGTCAGGGCCATAGGTTCAGACACTGGCGATTCAGCTTGAGTTGGGGATTCAAAACTGCAGGAAAGCAGTGAGTTTTCCTGTCTTAACATGCCACAGACACCATCTCGACTACAGAGAACTGGCTCATGTGACCGGAATCACAGCCAGCAATGGCAGGGTACTGCATTTAGAACGCTTGTGGCAGCGCTGCAGACCAGCTGCTCCAAAGGTCTGCTGCTCGGCAATCCTAACAAGTGGCTGCAGGGATACAGGGCACAAGAAATGCTGAGGCCAGTGAGATGAGTGGGAGGCTTATGGACAGGCTGGTGGTGATGTAGTGGGGGAATTTGCTTTCCTATTTCTCTTAATTCCAGGAGCCATTTAAATAAGGGGGAAATGTAACTGTGCAATGATAAAGCAAACAATCCCCCCAAACTCTTCGATACCTGACCAGACGTGTAGTGCGTGCGCTCACTCTCCCTAGCACACCCATCTGCACTGTATGCTCACTCTTGCACTTAAGGAATCTAATATTCCTAATCAAATATTAGGAATCATTAGCCTAATTACCCAACTGGAGACTATTAGTAAAGGGGTGGGATTTGGTTTTTTTTTTTTTAAGTAATACCAGTTCTTCTTCGAGTGATTGTTCATGTCCATTCCAAGCAGGTGTGTGCGCGCCGCGTGCACGCCAGCCGGAAGATTTTCCCCCTAGCAGCGTCCGTAGGGTCAGCCTTGGCGCCCCCTGGAGTGGCACCTCCATGGCACCCTATATAGGGGCCGGCCTACCCTCCACCCCCTCAGTTCCTTCTTACCGCCGGTGATGGCTAGCTGGAACTTGGCTTGCTCTTGCAGCAAGCTTAGCAGTGTCCCATTTAAGTGTATATAGTTGTTTCTCTCTTAGTTTAGAATTAGCATTAGTTGTAGATAGTTGATAGTTGTTGGGGAGTTTTCTGCTGGGGCATGCCCGGGTCCCCAGGGTTTAAACTCGGCAAGGACTGCGGGAAGTTTATGCCGAAGAGTGACCCGCACTCTTCTTGCTTAAGGTGCCTTGGGGAGAGCCACCAAAGAGACCGGTGCAGTATCTGCAGGGGATTCCGTCCCAGGACTCTTAAGGACAGAGAGCAGAGACTCAAAGTGTTCCTGATGGAGGCGGCCTTATGGCCACACTCGGACCCCGAGCCGGCCGACCCGGCGCCCAACGCCTCTTCCTCGGTGCGCAGCGCCCCAGCACTGCTAACAAGACAGGAGGCCCAGTCTCAAACCTCTAAGTCCCGGCACCGGAGAGAATCGGGACATAGAAAATCGGCCTCCATAAGGCACTGATCACCATCTCCAGTGCCCGCTAAAAAGAAGAGACCGGTGAGGGGCTGATCACCCCACCAGGAACTTAAAAGGCCGGCGGCGTCCATGAGAGCAGGGGGACAAGCTGTGCCACAAACACACCCTCCCATAGCTCTGTTGACTCCCGCCCCGGAGAGGGTGCGGTCGAGTCCAGACCGGTCGAGATCTCCGGACCTCAGCGAGGATGTGCATCTCCCATCGACGCCGGAGGCGTTTGAGGCGGCCTCTGACTTATTAAACCTCCCGGTGCCGGCCTCTCCGCACCGGTGGAAAGAGCCGCCGACCATGGTCCGACCCCGGATACAATCAAGGGGCAAGCCAGCCATGATGTCGCCTCAGTCCCCGCCTCGCGCCACCCCAGCGGCACCGGCATAGAGGGAGTGTTCCCCGACCCCGCGGCACCGCTCCCCGGCGACAGTGGGTACTGCTTCCCTTGGTCCTCCTATTCAGAGACCTCCGACTCGGAGGCGGAGTCCTACCGCTCCAGTAGATCGAGGAGCAGGAGGTCGGCTTCGCAGGTGAACCAACAACCTTGCCCGCCGCAGTGGCAGCAGCAGTGGCAACCGCCCTCCCAGTGGCCGTTCTGGACTCCCTGGGCTTACCATCAGACCATGGGACAGGCGCATGGCCCACGCTCCAGGTCCGCATCGGTCTCCTCGACAGGAGTGTACCACAACAAAGCCCGGCACCCCCTAGTCATACACCGGCACCGGCGGGGACCATGGTTCCGACACCGCAGGCACCGCCCAGCACGCCTCGTTGTTCGGTGTTGACCCCGGTACCGGCCGCGGTGCTGCATCCTGCAACTGCACCGGCCACGCAACCGCAGTACCGTGTGCCGCAGGCCCCTGCAGAGACTGAGGGTACAGAGGAAGGCCCTTTGCAGGTGATCTCCTCCTCTTCTTCTCCGGATGAGGCGGTGGCGGGAACTTCAGCAGCACCGGCCCTAGAGGACAACCGGGTGCTTCAGCAGCTGCTTAAGCATGCAGCTCAGAGCCTAGAGATCCAAGCAGAGGAGATTGAGGTGGATGTGGATCCGGTAGTGGACATCCTGGCCCCCTCGGGCCCATCTAGGGTAGCCCTACCATTGATCAAAACGATAGCTGATACCTCCCGCACCTTGTGGCAGACGCCAGCTTCATTGGCCCCTACGGCCAAAAAGACAGGCGCTATTTTGTGCCCTCCAAGGGCCATGAGCACCTGTATGCCCACCCTCCCCCGGACTCTCTGGTCGTGGATGCGGCCAACCAAAGGGAGCGTCAAGTGTTCCAAGGGTCTACACCGAAGAACAGGGAGGCCAAAAAGTTGGACCTGTTTGGCAGAAAGGTGTACTTAACAGGGGGACTGCAATTACGTATAGCCAACCAACAGGCTATAGTGAGCTGGTATGGACACAATACATGCTCAGCATTATCTAAGTTCGCTGAACTCCTTCCCCAGGAATCGCGAACAGAGGTTTCTGCTCTAGTAGAGGAGGGCAAGTTAATCTCCCAGGCATCCCTCCAGGCAGCCCTAGATGCGGTGAATGCCGCCTCCCGCACACTGGCGACCGGGCTGGTTATGTGGCGGGGAGCCTGGCTTCAGGTCTCAGGCCTTCCACATGAGGTCCAACAGACCATCCAGGACCTCCCCTTCGAAGGGCCCATGCTCTTCTCCAAAAAGACGGACAAGAGGCTACATAGCCTAAAGGACTCGAGGGCTACCCTTCGCTCACTGGGCTTGCACACCCCACCCACCCAACGTAGGCAATTCAGGCCGCAACTGGCCCCACGACCTTACCAGCCCCAGAACCGCACGGACTCCTTGCGCAGGCAAAGCAGAAATGGCAGAAGGAGACAACAACAGCC